CACAGAAATGCCCAGTCAGGAACGTGAGCAGTCACCACAATGAATAGAGCTATTCAACAAAATACTTCATTGTCAAAAACCAATACGAACCTCCACCCCAAATCTTATATTTCACTATGTAGGGCTAATGCCAAAGGTTTTTTTTTGGGGGGGGCTCAAAATGTTGCCTGTTGCCTCATCCCACTAGAAGAATTCATCTTTTGTAGCGACTTCATTTGTGCTTCTTCAGCTGAAAACCAGGTGAAGCCACCACGGTCTGCTTCTGTCATGACCACCTTAAGCCTCACTTGAGTTTATCAAGTCAAAAGGCCGTGGGGACATGAAGCAGCACACAGCTGAGCAGTTGGGAAAGCCATAAAATACACAGGGATGAGATTTTCTGGACAACAAACACCATAATTCTCCAATCTGTGAGTTCTATCTACCTTGCATGTATCTTTCAAACACCTCATTGTGACACACCTGGGAGAAAGGGCTGAATCACAAGGTTTTGTAGCTTGCCCAGGCCAAGTTCCACCCAAACTTCCTGTCCCTGTCCCAGTGCTACCTGGTTGATTTATTTCTGAAACAGAAGTTTGGGTGAAGCTTGAACTAAATAAGTTCAAAGCCTTCTCACTTACGCCTTTCTCCAGGTACACAACACTTAGGTGTTAGAAAAGTACCTGAAAGATAGGTAGAAGTCCCAGAACATAGAATTATGGTTTTGTAGTTCAGAAAATTTGAAAATTTCATCCCTAGTGCTGAACTCTCTGCCCTCTTTATCATCCTTGAATATTCTGGGACTAAACATATACTACACCGGGCATGGTAGCAAAATCCAGCTCTTCTGGAGACCCAAATGATATTTTCAGGTTCCCTACCTATGACACTTTCCCACTGCATAATCATTTGTTGGTTTCCCGCTCCCCCTTTTTATATAATGCCAAAATATCTCTCCTAAAGCTTAATTTATAGCAGTAAGGCCTTTATGCTAAACATGCCGGTATCTTGAGTCTCATCCTGTTAACTTCTTCCACTGTCACAATATAGTACCCAAGAATAGCTCTGAAAATAAATCTAGCTTTTGGGCTAAAAGATACCCCAACTGCTGCATTCTGCACTATGATAGAGAAAAGCAGCTGTTTTAGCTGATGCAAATCAGAACACCTGGCAATATTTTTAATGGGGAAAAATTATAAGAGGGATAAGCGTGTCAGCCATGATGAGCCCCATGTTTCCAACTCACAAATGTTTGGTACTTTTGCCAAGCTACAGTCTGACTGAAGACATGCTACAGATTTCTAGCTAATTATGCATAGATATAATGGGATCTGTGAATGTTGCTTAGTATCAATCTAAGGGTGACCTGAGTTCAATATGCAGCCTCTATGACAGGTATAGAAAGTTATTCACCAGCAGGCAATAGAGATTTACAAGCCAACATCTGCGACTAGTAAAGATAATGCATGATTAGTTCCACTGCGTATGGTTATGAACCTGTCTTTGCAACAACAAAGAGGTAAAATTATTGCTCCTCAGCAGGCCATAAAAACCTGCCACAGGACTTAAAATTGCACCTTATTAAATCTATGCAGATTGACTGGCATCACAGAATGAGAAATAGTAACATCTGTAAGCAGAAAAGGAGCTTTTTAAAAACACTGCTTATTTAGTCTCCTACTCACCAACTTCATCTTTGATGTTTGCAAGCTCCGCGGAGAGCTCCTTTTCCTTCACAAGCGTGCTTTCATTCTGTTCAAACAAAGAATACGGGCCGTCACTTGTTTTATGCTTGCACGTGTTTGCTTGCTATTACTAATTCCACTTAAATAAACTGTTCAGTTCAATTCTGAACAGTCAACAAAGTCAACCTAAAAAGCATTATACAGACAACCATGACTTTGAGCAGTAAAAGACCACCTTTGCAAAGTAGCATCACCATCAGTCGGGGTTATAACATGTTTACTTTGAAGTAAGACAATTTTATTCCCTGAAGTTCATGCCCTAGTGCCACAGTTCTTCACCTTGATTTTTCAGATGTTCAACACTCAAAGCACCTGAAGTGGATTTTGAAGTACACGGAGGGCCAGAGATTGAGAACAAGTGCTCCACTATGTTTAGAATTGGGTCTTATTCTGGAATATGCTGGATTTTGGGAAATGCATGAAAATAATTGCAGCAATAATCAGTGAGAGCTAACTAACAAGTCCCAAGCATTTCCATGGGAACACTCTATTGGGGACAAAAATTAAATTTAGCTCAGAGCTGGCATAGTGCAGCTCTCAAGAACAGCATCCCTGAACAACCTCCATTGTTGTGTATGGCAGCAAGAGCTGGTGGGAGGTGCAATCCAACAGCATCCATAGGATTAGCCTTTGCTTGCCCATTTAGTCTTCTAGTCATCAGACTTTTCCCAAATTTCACAATTTTACTAAATGAGAATAATCTTCAACAAGGGTTTTTTGCTTGGCCAAAAATCTCCCCACAAAATTTCCTTATAATACTGGATAAGAATTCTCTACACAGGATAACATAAGACTGCCACTATTGTATATCCAGCAGCAAGGTGCACCAATTTGGAGAAAAATGTCCAAATGGAGTGGGAAGGAGGTATTTGTCCATTTCCAAATAGGTTACAGGGAGCTTTGAGAAACCCTCAGGTTATTTGTTTGCCCTTAGTTTGTTCCATGGTTTGGGGGAGGTTGAAATGCTGAAGTTTAAATGGAAAAAAAAAACCTGAAGCCAATTGCAGTCAGGGAGAAGCAGAATCAATGGCACTAGTAGCAAAAGAAGGAAGTGCCTAAGTAGAAGGAGATTGGCAGCTGAAACCCCAAGGAAAGCTGACACTTCCCCTGGATACTCAAATCGCTGAGCCCCTTGGGAGGGCTGAGACAGACCTCAGCATTTATCTGCTCCCATCTGCTCCACTAAGCAGCCATTTTGCATCTGCACTGGGCAAATGGAGAGTGCTACATCACTTACTATACTGACTGCATTTTAGACATGTCTTCCTTTTAGGTAGCTATACCAAACCTTCCTTACACATAGGACTGTGTGAATGTGTGATGAATAACTGGCTCTCTTGTGTGGGATTTGATTTGATAGGTCAAAGTATCTAGGGACTACCTCTCCCCCTTCCTCATTTTTTCTGCTTTATTCTTTTATGTTTATTGTTACCTTTTAACTGCAGAACCTTTTTTTTAATTGCTGTGGGTGCCTATGTGCTATGTGTTCAAGAGTGGATGTTCATGCAGGACTCTGTTTCGGACTATGTTGTCGACATACTGGGGATATTAAGTACAGTATACATATTCTCCACCCGGATGCACTACTTCCCTGTCATCCTTACTTGTATTTTACTGTCTGGTGCACTGCAAGAGCACCATGGAAGAAAAATCTTCTACTCAATGGCATGGAGCTGTCTTCCCTATGCCACTAGGATCTTTGCATCACAGCTTTCCTTTCAGAGGATCCAGGGAGATCTATCCACCGAAGAACAGTGATCCGCTGGTATGTATATGTCGATTCATAACAGAGCAAGTGATGGGCAAGAAATAGAGTGTATGGGGCCAAGGTAGGGGAAGGATGAAAGCTGGTAGGAGTTTGCTATTTATTGAAGTTTCCCCATTTCCCCCAACTTGATGGCCCCATATAGTGTCTCTCCTGTCAGATTAAAGCTTTTTTTTCTTCCTTGTCCAGAATCCCACTCATCCACTCTGTTCTAAAAACATCATCACCACCACCATCATCACAGAACTGAAGAGCTAGAAGGGACTGTGGTGATCCCCTCTGAAGCCCCTAGAAGTTTCCCCATTTCCCCCAACTTGATGGCCCCATATAGTGTCTCTCCTGTCAGATTAAAGCTTTTTTTTCTTCCTTGTCCAGAATCCCACTCATCCACTTTGTTCTAAAAACATCATCACCACCACCATCATCACAGAACTGAAGAGCTGGAAGGGACTGTGGTGATTCCCTCTGAAGCCCCTATCCCCTCAGGTCTTCACGAGGTTCTCGCTCTTCTTCTTTCTTTGCTACCACCAGGTATTACTACTTTAATACCATTTGATCAAGGAGACATGTGTGCTTTTAAAACTTAAGTTATTTATTAGATCAGGGAAGTTCGTATAGGATTATTACTCAATAGGTAAATCACAGGTTGCTAATCACTTGTAACTAAGTCTATTCTACTTTAACTTTAAAACTCTATCAACTCTCTGTTCCATTCAGTGTTCTTATAGACCTCTAACTCACTCTAAGTTCACTTTTAAGTTTCACACTGTCGCTCACTCACAGAATCTCCCTCTCAGTCTCCATACGCCAGCCTTTATATCCAGCCCCTCCCCCCTTGGCTCCACCTTCCGTCCTCTCATTGGCTCCTTCTCCACTGTTCAGCTGTGACGGACAGGTGAGGGCAGGGCTGTTCGCTACAGGGACCCTATGGATCATCAGGTCCAGCCCTTGTCAAGGAGGCACACTGGAGAATCAAACTCCTGATCTCTGGCTCTTCAGCCAAATACCTAAAGCAATGAGCTACCTAGCCAGCTATGTTAATCATACAATTCCTACATTTAGAATTAATTCATTGCATTATTTCATTATTTCAGTGCACTATTTCATTGGCAGAAGGAATGGCTTGATGAAGCAAAAAGGGATGTATCTTTCAGAAGCAAGAACTTTAAATAACCAGATAGGTAGGATGATGTAAAACCCATTTTTCCTGACATCATCCTGGAAAAAGATCATAAAAAGATTCTGCAGGGAGATATTTCACAAGGGATGTATGAATCAACAGAACATGCTAAAGGAAAACCCACCAGAGTGTGATTTAGTATAACAGATACCAAGGAAATTGCACAGAAGGATATAAAGCTGCTTTCTTGTTCCAATATTAACTCTTACCTTGTGAAAGACAAGATACAAAGAATGAAACAATGATTAGTAAAACTCTATGAAGGCCTATAAATGCATCTCTAGAGAGAAATAGGATTTTCAAAATATCACTAGGTCAGCTTCACCCAAATTGATCTTCTCCAGATGAGCTGGACTATAATAGCTACACTGTTCTCAGTGATTCTGAGAGTTGCAGTCCAACACATATAGAAGATACTAGCTTACAGAAAGCTAAACTAGAAGGAGCACAATAAAAATAATGTGAGTTTTGTCCCTGGAATGAAGCTATAAATACAATGCATCTACAAGAGATGATAAGGACTAAGGATGATTCTGCATCCATTGCTTCAGAGATGCAAGATCTTGTCTACTGTGATTGAAAAATGAATAAATCAGTGGCTACATCCTTGAAGAAGAACATTGTAGTAGCGATGAGTAAAATATTTCCATCTCTCTTTTAAACAAAATTTGCTGTGATTGAACAATGAATAAATCAGTGGCTACATCCTTGATAGGGACGTGGTGGCGCTGTGGGCTAAACCGCAGAAGCCTGTGCTGCAGGGTCAGAAGACCAAGCAGTTGTAAGATCGAATCCATGTGACAGAATGAGCTCCCGTCGCTTGTCCCAGCTCCCACCAACCTAGCAGTTCAAAAGCATGCAAATGCGAGTAGATAAATGGGGACCACCTCGGTGGGAAGGTAACAGCGTTCCGTGTCTAAGTCGCACTGGCCATGTGACCACGGAAGATTGTCTTCGGACAAAACGCTGGCTCTATGGCTTGGAAACGGGGATGAGCACCGCCCCCTAGAGTCAAACACGACTGGACAAAAAAAATTGTCAAGGGAAACCTTTACCTTTACCTTACATCCTTGAAGAGGAACATTGTAGCAGCGATGAGTAACATATTTCCATCTCTCTTTTAAACAAAATTTTATGTAAGGATTTATCCACTTGGAGTATTTGTTCAAGTAAAAGTTTTACATTGATGATATTGCCATTTTCCCACCATCCAAATGACATAAAACTTGTTTCCCTTTGATCAGTGCTTTTCTGAGTGATTTGCCATGGCTCATTGCACCTCTTGAGAGCCAGGTAAACTTTAAGTCTTTGTTTATTCCTGGAAGTGGAATTTAGAATTATGGTGGTTTCCAGTGGCAAAGTTTCATTGTCTGAAATTTCAATGATCATTCAAACAACATAAGCAAAAACAACCCATGTCCCAACAGAGAAGGTCTAGTAAGGACATGGATTTCTTTTATTTTGCCTGGAACATTTCTTATGACCCATTAAAGATAAATGTTTGCCTTAAAGAAAAGAGAAATGTGTTTGTTTGGACTTGAGTCCTAGTACCCTTCAAGCAGTTAAAAAAGGATAGGGATAAAAGAGTCTTAGGTGAAAAAGTACACACCTGATCATACTAGAAAGGGTCACTTTAAGGGAGCAACATCTCTTAAAGCAACCCTTCTGTCTGCCAGGGAATCGCTCAGCACCAAGCAGTTAAAAAGGATAGGGATAAAAGAGTCTCAGGTGAAAAAGTATACACCTGATCATACTAGAAGGGTCACTTTAAGGGAGCAACATCTCTTAAAGCAACCCTTCTGTCTGCCAGGGAATCGCTCAAGCTTACCTTCCCAAAAGGTACAGCTTTGGCATGGATCAGAGTTAGACTGGAGTGCATTTCCCTGTATGTCATGTGATCCCTTGGAAACAGATCACACCAGACTGCTACTCAAGCAGTTCATAAAGCAATCTATTTTCCTATGTGATATAACACCTTAATTTGTTGTCTGAGCTAAATGAAGGTGAAGTCTGGGGCATGTAAATAACCTTGCACACAAACATAATTCAGAATAAAAAGGCC